ATCATTGAGTATGAAATGTTTTGTGCTTTTGGAGTTGTTTAGTTGGCCGAAAAATTTTATCGTGAGATTATGTATATATAAGTTTTAATTGTTGGGAGTTTGAAGTCGGTATGAAGTGCTTCGTTTCTGATAAACTATGGCAAGTTGGAAATTATATGTGCAATAAATAATGATATTATATATAATAATTAATATATTATTCTAGTTATCATACTAGATATTATTATATTATATAAAGCATAATAAAAATGTGGCACTTGTTAATTAACTTTTGTTCATGGTCTTATTTCTATCCAGCTATTTTACTGAAATACTTAAAATTCTAATGAAGAGTCTAATTATGAAAATGTGCTTGTATATAAATTTATGATTCATCATCTCTATTGATGATTGTTTTAATAAACAGACTCTAGTTTTACATATATTAATAAGTCTAGTCTATGATACAAATGGAGATACCAACTCTTACCATTCCAAGAAGTTATTATTTTATTATCTAAATGTGGCCGAGGTCTTTTTTTTCGTGCTTCAAATAATATGCTTTTAGCAATTTTAATTTCTTTTTCTACGTTTTCCACAGTTATTTGAAACTTTTTAGCAGTACTTTCCTTGCTTCTGAACTCTATTAACACATTTTGATTCAATAACTCTCCATGAGGATCCTACAAAATTAATTATAAATGTTTTTACAGGTATAGGTAGTTATAGGTATGTACAGGTTCAGAAAATATTGTATTCTATGGATCTGGAAGGTATTTTATACMTAGTGGAGCCAGCAAGTAATTATTTAAAAATCTTATATAAAAAGRATAATTTTAAAGATATTGAACATAGTAAAATATGAATTTGAAGTTGGTCAAATGAAAAATGAAAAAATGATATATTCATACGAGAAGTCTACAAATAAAWACTAAATGCACATGCAGACACAACCATATACCTCATTATATTTTACAGATGATAATCATTCATTCAGCATAGCGATACCACATAATATATGAAATGTATAAATTTATTTCATATATTCTGTGGCAATACAGTCTACATCAATAGATCGCTATAACCTATTTCATATTTTTTGGTATATGTTAATATTATACAATATTATATTACTCAATTAAATAATTGAATAATATACCATACTATAAAATATTTTAACTTCATTCATATTATACTCGTATAATAACGAGGGAAATAATTGGGTTGCTGCAATAGACACAAAATCTTATGCACATTCATAATTTATATTTATTGAACACATCACTATATACTTACAGAGTCTGGTCGAACATTACCATTAGGTAAAACACTAAAATGCCAACAAAATAGTTCAGATAGCATAATATCAGGTTTTAAATCAAGAGGTTTGTCTAAGAGTGTTTTTACTTCTTCTTGTGTCCAGGTACAAAAAGCTCCTTCACGTTTTTTAGTAGAATCAACTGTAGGCAGTGAATCTGCATCTTCAGCACTATAAAATCCACCTAGCTAAAAAACATKATTATTTTTAATTATTTAAATAAATTCAATGAATAGAAATAACAATATTTAATATAATGCTATTAATATCTAGAACAGTTRTACACTAACCACATTAAATTAATTTATAGCAAATTACTAGATATTTTTATATTTTAAAATTATAAACACATTTTAAACATTGAAAAAAAAAATATTTGTAAGGCGTTATTGTTTAATAAAAATTATAACTAATTCACTAACTAATTTTTCTATTTAGCTAGTGCATAATGTTACAGATAAATATATTAATGAATATATTATAATGAGGCAAATACTTATACCTTATGACTTAAATCTCTACTGACATATTGCAAGATATCATGAACAACATCTGAATACTGCTCATGTTTGGTTATTTGGAAGGCTGTGGTATATGACACAGCTAACTGAGCTTGATCATACAACATTTTTTCAAAATGTGGTACATGCCATTTTTCATCTGTAGAATATCTAGCAAAACCCTAAAAGCAATGATTGTAAGTTCAAATTTATTTTTACCTACACAAATTTCTCACTTGGCCRATGTGATCATGAATACCACCCATGGCCATTTTTTGTAAAGTTGTCAATGCCATTTCTAAGCTCTGTTTTCCCTCAGACGATTTTGACATTTTACTTGATACGTGAAATAGAAAATCTAATATTGCTGGCTGAGGGAATTTAGGTGGCATACCAAAACCACCCCATTCATCATCATAAATTCTCTTAATTTGTGAGTAACATGTTATCCATGTCTTGGGATTGGGTTTCATAATATTCGAAAGTTCAGTTCCAAGTTGTATATCAAAAACTGTAGTATCATTAAGTATTTTCATCATTTTTGAACTATTTTCCAACATGGAGTTTGAATCACTTTTCCACTAATAAAAAAAATTGTTTATTAATCCATAATGTTATTATAAATATATATTATGATTAACTTACTCTTTTAGCCATGTGTAAAAGAATAGTTTTAAATCCAGGACGTCCATATGCATCTTCAGGTGGATAATATGTTCCACCACCAATTGGTTTCAAATCAGGTGTTAAAAATACACTCATAGGCCAACCTCCTTGACCAGATGCCGCCTAATCAATACAGGAAAGATAGTTTGTAAGCTAAATTGCTAAAGAAACACTACCATCAATAATCATTGATAGTTAATAGCCTATCTAAGTATATAATTTAGTCTATAAGTGTGCAGTAAATCTATAAGACAAATTGATTTWAAAAATGTATCGCTTATCMATACAGGATTTAGCTGCCAACTGGTGCTTAACTATTAAAAATATCCA